TGCAACCTTTATAAAAGACCTTATAGCCCTCCGACGTAAATAGGGGCGAGAGGACTATATCGACGTCTTTTCCCTATAGTTCCTTCCTAAATTTTTAGGGGCCTAGGAGTTAGTAGAAGGCGAATTAGTAACCTACGAGAGCTAGGAGACTATCGATAATACTAACGAAGAGGGGATTAAGGAGATAGGCCGAGGGGATAATAATGCCGACCCTGCTTCGGTTTTAGTTTCTATTAAGGCTATCCGATTTACTAGCTAATAAATCGGTCGAGTAGGACCTCCTCGACCTAAGGAACTTTACTCTATCCCTAATAATATAGACCTTTCCGCAGTTACCCGTTCCTTTGCCGTCGTTCCCGCTATCTATATTTAAGTTACTATCGGAAGCTATAGTTAGCAGTTGCTAGCAATGCTTAATAATAGTTTAGAGTTACTTATTATAAGTGAGCGCTAGGCTAAACAGCTCCGACTGCTAATAAATAGAGATATTTCCCTTAGTATATAGAGAGTAAATAGGGAGGTTGCGCTAGTAAGTACCTACTATAATATTATAGTAGACGCTTTCGGTATATGCTTTTCCTTCACCTTCTAGATTGCCGCTAACCCGAATACGCTAATTATTCTAGGTCGTCTATAGTCTCGCATAACCCGGGGTATCTAGCGCAACTACGACGATAGCTCCTAGGAAGGAACTATCGCTAACTAGAAGGGCAACCGAGTCGTATTTACTAGTTATATCGGAAACACTAGCTGCAAATCCTACGAGGATATCCTTGCTGCTTCTAAACGCTCTTCGGGAAACGCTATAGCGCGGTTATAAGACCGGCAATCTGCGCTATAAGTTAATATAGCTTAAATAGGTTATATCTAGAGGTGCGCCGCTCTATACGACAAGGCTAGTTCCTAGGCTCTATACTAAGGAGACGAATGCTCGAAGCGATAGCGAGTATAATAGTATAACGACTACCTAGTATACGAATCTCGGTAATAATACTGTCGTAGGCATCGCCGCCGGAAGCGGATCTACCCGAGCCCGAATCCGAACTAACTAATTAGAGCGCCGATCGAATAATACCCTAGGGGTATTATTAGGAATCTAACGTTTTCGCCGGAATTATAAATCAGGATTACTAGCTATATACCTACCGACTTAAGGAGACTTCTAATAAAGTTTACGCGCTGTTCTATTACGCTAATCTCCGGGCCTAACGTTAAAGAGAGAGGGCTCGGGTATTACGAGCGGTTAGTATATATACCCTATATAAGAAGGTAGCTAACAAGATTAAGCCCGTAAAGGGTAGCGTATATATAACCGATAGGTCCAATCCTAGCGGGAATCCTAACTAGCGACAAAAGTGCCTTAACCGCGAAGCGATGTTAATACCTAGGGATAGTCTATACGACTAGAGGTATATTACTAAAAAGTTCTCCGCTATTCCTAGGGGATCGAGGCTAACGCCGGAGAGACTAGCGAACATTAAACCTAGTATCGAACTTTCGGATCTTAAACTAGATTTGCTATACGAGCTTCTATATAACCGCGAAGCCGTATTAGTATATAACTTTACGTATCTAGGTAGGATTAACCCGGAGGTTGCCCCTCTATAGAGGATCCGAACGATCGAGTATAAGCCTTAGGCTTACCTAGGGTTTAAGCTAAACCTAAGCCTAAGAGGTATAGTTAAGGATATAATACGGCAGTATATAAAGGCTAGCACCTTAGAGCCTTCCTATACCTCGTATCGCAATCTATACTTCCTAGTTTAGAAGAAGATAGCTCCTAGGGAACTAAAGAAGTATCGGCTAATTAACGCTACCTAGAAGTTTAACGCAGTTACAATTAGAGATACTAATCTTCCTTCGGAGACTAATAGGTTCTTAGAAGCCTTTGCTAACTATATAGTAGCCTCGCTAGTTAATATATTCTTAGGCTACGACTAGATACCTCTCTATCCTAATAGCCGGGACCTTACTAGTTTCGAAACGCCTCTTAGACTATACCGACAAACTACCCTTCCCTAAGGGGCAACTAACTCCGTAGCCTAGTTCGTTCGCATTATAAACCAAGTCCTCGCGGCCTATATCTCCTATATAGCGATGCCTTTCCTCGACGACATCGGCATTAAGGGCCCTAAAACTAGGTACGACAATAAAGAAGTAGAGCCTAGCATCTATAGGTTCTTTCTCGAACACATTTAGAACCTCGATAGTATCCTCTACGACCTAGAGCGAGCTAACCTAACGGTATATAGGGAGAAGCTTTAGCTCCTATACAAGCGTATAAACATTGTCGGGTTTGTTACTAATAAGAACGGCCGTTATCCTAATAATGTACGGGTCCTAAAGATTGTATCCTAGCTAGACCCTACCTATTAGAAGGATATCTAGATCTAGCTTAGAGTAGTCTCCTACTTCCGTATCTAGGTCGAAAACTTTACGTTAGTATACAAGCCTCTATACGCCTTGCTTAAGAAGGATATAGAGTTTAAATAGACCTCCGTTTACTAAGCCGCTAAGGACAAGGTTACTAAGGCGCTTGTTAGCGCGCCTACGCTTACCTCTATTAACTACTCGGAAGGCGCAGGTCTACTAATTGTTACTATCGACTCGAGCGGGGAAGGCTATAGCGAGATACTAATATAGTATAATCGTAAGGAGCCCTCCTTACGTTACCCTGTCCGGTACGAGTCCGGTCTATAGAAACTAATCGAGGCCCGATACGATACTAGTAAGCGAGAGTGCCTTAGTATCTATAAGGCTCTTAAGAAGTTCCGACCTTAGCTCTTTAGAGTGTTCTTTCGCCTAGAAGTCGACGCTTAGACGCTAGTCTATTAACTTAACTATACAGCCTCCGACCTGCCTAACTCTACGATAGCTCGGTAGGTTGCCTAGATCTATTTGTTTAATTTCGACGTCTTCTATGTTCCTAGCAAGAAGTATACTAGACTAGATAGCCTTTCTAGGAGGCCTACTATAGAAGAGGACATCGCCGAGATAATAGAAGAAGAGGATATCGACGCGGTTATTAACCGTACCTTCTTTACTACCTTCTATATTAACGCTATGCCGGTAATTACTAGGTCTACTACTAACAACTAACCTAGTAACTAGCCTAACGAAGACCCTACTACTAACGGCGAGAACTAGGACGATACTAAGGCGGGCGAACTAGGTAGGGATAATATCCTTAATAGGGTCTACTCCGACGACTCCTATAATATCGCCTACTTCCTTACCTATACGAAGAGAGCTCCTAGTCTATTAAAGAGTTAATACCGTCGTATTATTCGCTATTCTCGGAGGTTCCTTATTAAGGATCGCATCCTTTAGCGATAGGCTATAGTTAATATACCGCTCTAGCGTATTATTAACGATCTAGCAGCCCGATAAGAAATCCTTCGTTCTGTTTACGATAAGCTCGGCTACTAGGCGGTAGAGGGTACCTTCGATATCCTTCGTCGACGCTACTAGTAGGACGGCGTATAGGCTAACGTCTCCTACTACTATAAGAGCTATCCTAAGTGCAACTTTAGGAACAGCTACCGACGTCTAGGGGAGCTACGTATCCCTACTACCTAGTTAGTTAGGGAGCGGTAGTATAGCGATAGGGTCTATCTTAGCCGCAATAATAGCCTATATATTATTCGAGAGAGTCTTTCTCGATAGCCGGAGGCCTATTATTTCTATAAAGGTTGCGGTGCTATTAATGCCCGTAATATAGCTACCTTCCTATTTAAGGATCTGTTTTACCGCTAGGGAATACCTTACGAGGTTATCTTAGATAACGCTACGAATAATATAGCTAAGGAGGTTTAAGCGCTACTTGTTTCGTACGAGGCGAAGAACGTTCGCATCTCCCCGTACTATCCCTAGTCGAATGCTATTATTAAGCGCGGCTATCGGTCGTTAATTAATGCCCTATCTAAGATAACCAATAGTAGCGATAGATTAGTTCCTATTTCTACCCGCGTCCTAGCCCTTCTCTAGGCGGACCGAACTACTATTGTCGACACGACTAGACTTATACTAGCGGAACTTATAATTAGGAGGGACGCCGTTCTTCCTATTAAATTGTCCTATCGTACGTACGGCGTTTACGATTAGGGGTCTGTTTATACTAGGGCAGATCTTCTTGCCCTACGGGCTAAGGCTCTTAAGGATATAACTACGACTTCTTAGGAGGGTCTTACTCGATAACGTCGCCTTCGGGAGGAAGCTAAGCAGTATTTTAATAACTATAATACTATTAATTGGGAACCTCTAAAGGTTGGCGATATAGTCCTTCTATACCGGTCCGAACTAGAGTATAGTTACTTCTATAAGCTAGCCTTTAAGTAGAAGGGTCCTTATAGAGTAAAGGAGGTCCTTTACTCGGGTTCCGTATACCTTCTTTAGGAGCTAGATAGTGCCGCCTTAAAGCACTCTTACCCTCGGGCTAATCTAAAGAAGATCGTTAAGTTACGCGAACCTGCCCGCTCTCCGCCGACCGAGGAGGAAGTTAGTGCTTCTATAGACCCTCTACCGTCCTTAGATGCCTATCGGGAGGAGGATCCTACCGCTATTATAGATCCTGTTCTACCTAAGAACTATGCCTATCCCTAGATTCGTCTTAGTAAGCTATTAGGAATAACTTAAGAACAAAGGGAGGGTTATATACGGATTAACTATATATAGAGCGTTTCCGATGTTAATTCCGATTCTAATAGTAAACTAGACTTCTAGCTATCTAACTCTAACTCCGAGGAGGAACTCGACTAGTCTAGCGACGAAGACCGCCTAGAATTATAGGTATTAAACGACCCCGACCCCGAGACTAAATAATTGCTTGCTCTTCCTTGCCTCTACCTGCCTCTACTACGTTGCTTTCCTTGCCTCTATTAACTATTCTCCGCGCTGTTAATGTAGCGCTGCCCTTTAGCTTTAGTCCTTACTACCTATTCCTAGTTCCTACGGATATTAATACTCTTAGTTATTGCCCTCCTTTGCTTTTACTTTGTCTATTATTTTGCTCTTTTGTCTTTTGCCTTCAATTAATATTGCTATAGCTTTACTCTTTTTGTATTTCCTTAGAAAGAACTGTACGAGGCGTAACTTCCGAATAATACCCCGGGGGTAGCATTCGGAAGCTAGCCGAACCTAACCTCCCGCCCTTCTAGGACTACTTCCCTCTAGTTTCCTAGTCTCTAGCAACCGCCCTTAGGTAGCAACGATAACAAGATACTCCGCTAGAGAAGATTGTTCCTACCCTAATTAGTATTAGTTACGTAGGATACTAAGAAAGGGAGGATCCTTCTTTCTTCCTAGCTCTTAAATAGACGTAGCAACCCTCTAAGAATAGGGACCTTAGGCCGCTAAGCTTAGTGTCTAGAAGAAAGAAGAACGCACGGGCTACGTTTATATGCCTACTGCTATAAAAGGTAATACTATATCTATAACGACAGTGCTATAGGCTAATACAAGCTGCGCTAGGCCTAGGCGATTTGCTCCTAGTTGCCGAGCATCTCTAGAGATAAGCTAATACTACCCCGGGGGTATTATTAGTCCCGCTAGCCTTACTACTATAGATTACTACTAGGTACTCGAACTAACTAGTTACATTTCGAGTGCGCGAGAATCTACGAAAGCTAGAGGTTAACAAAGGCGCGTAGTCGTTACTAGCAATTAGCTAGATCGATTGTTAAACTTTAGCCTACCCTACTAATAAAGGAGTCTCGTATATAGCTTTACTTTTTAGGGTCTATATATAATCGTTATCCGTTTGCTTTACCGGAATACACGGACTACGTTACCTTCGTACCCTATTTAAGGCGAGCCTTCTAAGCTCTTTCTTCTACTCGAATACTAACTAACTTACTACCGCCTACCCCCTCCCCTCTTCTATCTAAACCCTTTAATTATTATTAACAAGCTACGAACGTTTTTTTGCAAGCTCGTTACTAACTCCTTTCCGCTCCGGTTAACTAAGATATCTTCCGGCGCCCTAAATCCGCTAGGTGCTAGTAGCAGTAGCAACCTACTAGCCCTAAACCTAGGCGTACTAGTCCCGATCGAAGCCCTATCCGATAGCGCCTTAGCTGCTGCAACTAGCCTCGAGCACTACTTCTAGATCGTTACCGCCCTTAAAGACTCTTAAGAGAAGATCTAGAACGCTCGCACCCTACTACGCGTTATTAATAGGAATATTAAGAAGGCTGCTATCTTAGTTACGTACGGTATAAACAACTTGCGTTAGTCTATCGGTAAGCGTATCTTTAAGCGCGAGGTTCTTAACGATATAGATATCGAATAAGCCTTTCCTATCGTCTATAGCCTCGAGACGGCTAGTACCTAGATTCGTTTGCGCTTTAAGACCCTCGACTAGGCCTTCGAACATTAGAGAGGACTAAGCAGTCTTCCTAAGAGCCTTATTAACTTCGCCTACGGTAGATAAGAGCGTACTAAGTAGGTCTCTTCGTTCGTTAATAAGTATAAGGTCCGTCGTTAAGGCGCCGAGCATCTTTCCCGTACTATAATCTATCGTATATCTATAGCTAGTAAGAAGGTAGGCAAGTAGTTACTTAACTTGTCCTTTACGCTTAACGACTTTACGATAGCCTACTAGAAGAAGTACTACGATGCGATTGTCTAGGTCGATCTTAATGTATAGACAACTAAGGATCTACTAAAAGAGAAGGGCTATCGCATTAATAGTATAGGCTTTATTATTAAAGGTTAAGAGGCTCCTATCGTTAATGTCCTTAAACGTAAGGCTCTTCGCCTAGAAACTAAGGCCGATACGGCTACTAGTCTTGCGCTCGCTATAGAAATGCAGGCTAAAGATCGTCGCTCGACTCGTAACTATAAGGTCCCTTAAGAAGTTTAAGACGAGCGCGCTAAGGCCGAAGCAGCGCGTAAGAAGGCATTATATACTCGCTAGGCCCTCCGCAAGGCTAGTAGGAAGTATAGCACTCCTTCTAGTACCGACTATAGTACTAACTATAGTAATTCGGATATTAATATACTAGATGCACTACTAGAAGATGTCTCCTCCGAAGGCTCCTTTAGCGAGCGTAGAGATAGAGGCCTCTCGCCGATCCTATTAACTAAGAACATCTATAGTTCTTATAAGGGCGACTCTATTACGTACCTTATTACTAATATCGATATAGTTCCTAAAGCCGATATAGGCAAAGCTCCTACCGCCCTATCTATCTATTAACAGCTCGACGACCTTAGCAAGCTAGGTAAAGAGCGGTTTACTATATATACTAACTATATTAAGAAGGCTACTAAGGTCTGTAGTCTCTATACTAGTACTAAGACGAGTGTCCTTATTAGCCGCCTATTAAAGATTAGACGTAATGTCGCTAATTAAGATGCCTTCGCTGCCCTTAAGGCTAATTAGGCCTATACTAACTGGTTTCCTAGACGCCCTGTTGCCGCCCCGACATCTCTAGAACTCTACGCGTTTAACCCTACTAGTACTATTACTCGCGCCCTTACGCCGACGGATCGCTAGAGCAAGTTCATTACCGGCATCCTTAGCTAAGGCACTTCCTTCGACCGCTTTCGCTAGACTAGTAATACTATCTTCCCTTAAGTCTTTAGTTAGTTATAAGAGCTTCGTAGAGTATATCTTCCTTTCCTTATCGACCTAATATAGGAGGAGTTTAAAATGTACCTTTAGTATATGCGTACGATGCCTAAGTCTAAGTAGGAAGGCCGTAATACCCTTTAAACTTATAGTGTAAGCAACTAAATCGTCCGCTAGCACCCTGCCCTATAGCTCTTAGCTATCGCCCTTCGACCTAATTACGTATACGAGCTTATCTCTATTCCTAAGCCTGCTAAGTTCTTTAAGGTTAGCGGTACTTATAAAAACTGTCTATCTAAGGAGTCTGCTCGTCTCGGACAAGATATAGTTAAGCTCGTAGTAGGCGAGGGTACTAGTTACCTACGTATTAAGGTCTGCCTTATATCTAAGGATAAGACTAGCTACTCTACTATTGTCGAAGGTATATATTAGCCCGAGGTCTTTGCGAACTAGGTTAAGAAGCTTAAGGCTCGTAGCCTAGTCCTACTAAGCAAGATCGGCAAGCTTACTAATAAGTACCTTACCGGCGACGACCTCGACTATATATTCGATAATTAGCCTAATAGTAAGAGGCGCAAAGCGGAGTAGATCCTTAACCCTCTAAAGGAATACGAGGTCTCTGTTTAGATGCTATACCTTCCGTATAGTAATCTAAAGACTAAGAGCAACCGTATATTAATTAACCTAGGCTACTCTCGCGTTATTAACGGCACTAAGGTTAAGGGCTACGAGAACTTAATAGTCTCTTAGGTTGCTAAAGCGCACCGCAATCTAACCGCCCTCCTAGCCTCTAACTCCTTCGTACTATTCGCTTTCCCTACGGCTATCTTAGTCGAAGGCCTCGGCTATATCTCCGACGCCCTAGTTAGTAGGATTCCTTAGTTAAGTTACGTTGTTTAGAACGAAGTTGAATAGATCCTCTAGCTTAATAACGAAGGACTTAAGGAGTATCTATATAATTAGGAGAAAGCTACGACGGAAAAGGCTACTAACCTCCTCGTTAATTAAGCTTTCTACGAGGGATAGTACTTCGGTACTAATAGCTTTAACGTATACGGAGGAGATTTCGAGAGCCGACTAGCAGATAAGGTTATTGCTAGTAAGGATTACGGCGCGTTAAAGCAATAGTAGGTCTATATAGTGTTGCTTAGGAAGTCGTTTTTGCATAATTATAGTATCTAGGATTAATGCTATCCCGGGGGTATTATTGCGGAGTTGTGAAAATGGCCTTAGCTAAGACCGCTAAGGATGTATACATGTTTGTTTTAAGCGCGCAATGTAAAGCGTGTCTAGTTAGATACGAAGAAAGGGAGGGATATTAGCTAGTAACCGGCCCTACACCTATAGGCTAGTTTTAAGCCTATATAAGAGGCCTCCTTCTACAGAGTAGACAGATTATTAACCTCGTATAGCATATTGTTTATATTACACTTCTACAATGCCTATATTGCAGGGCTCTAGTTATTAGCCTAAGCGACAGTCTCGTTATCCTATCTTGCTAAATATAGCTGCCTATATTGCTATAGGTTATGTTACCCTCGGTAGCCTATACTATTGCTACAAGTAGTGGTAGTAGTGTTGGTTCCCGTCCTTTACTATATACGACAAGCTAGCTTTACCTACTAGAAGGACCGCTAACTCCGCTATATTAGCTACATTATCAATCGGATAATATAAGCCTTTATATTTGCTAAGGATAAGGAGTCTACTAAGAGCGAGGAGTTTAATTAAACAGTAATAGAAGATAGCGATACTATATCTATTTCTAAGTAGTTAGACATAGACGTAGACTCCTTTACTAAACAAGGTCTATTATAACGGCTATTCGCACTCGCTAAGCTATTACAAATGAACGACAACTTTAACGTCTTTAAGGAGGTATGTAAATCGTAGCCTTAACTGCCTTATACAACAACTAAGATTCTAGGTAAGATACGCTAGAATGGATAGCTTCTAATAATAGAAGAAGCCCTTTAAACAAGGCTAATTCTAAACAGCTTCTTCGATAGAATGCCGTACCTACGAGAGGCTTAGCTTACTAGCGATAAGTACTCAGTTCTATAGCATACTCGTAACTTCCTTGTGCCCTTTAAGGAGGTTACTCTCAAGCTATAAGGCTACACTATAACACTAGATTTATATTAAGAAGCTATAGAATATATAAGAAGCTACCTTACTTAATTAGCTAAAGACAACGTACGGCGTAAGCCTCTTATCCGCTCAATCCGCCTTGTAAGACAGCTATTTAATAAGTACTACATTCTTAACTAGCAGACTTCCGTCTATATAATAGTAGTCCTTCTATATCTAACTCGTCGACTTGCCTAGCTAAAGAAGCGCTCGGAGGTAGATATTAAGACCTTACTAGTACTTGGAAGGTTGCTTTAAAAGGACTACAATAGCCGTTATAGAAGCCCTTAACCGTCTACTTCTAAAGGCAATTTAGAAGGCCTTACAGCCCTCGAGCGATAGCAAATTAAGTCTCAAACCGACCTCGTTGCTAGTAATAAAGACCCCTTCGAGACCTTTATTTAAGCGGCACCTACTATATTGCCTATTGTAGGCAAAGACAACAAGAACAGGCCAATTCATATAACTGCTATTAAGTGGTAGCTGCAGTAACAGCCTTCAAACCGAGCGCTCGCACAACTAGCTATTAATATATTATTAGCCTTTAGTATATTAGCCGAGTTAGAACGGACCTTTAGTAAGAGCCGCCGCACTATATTATAGGAGCGGTTACAACTCAGTAGCGACTATATCCGGATAAGTGAGTGTTTAAAGAATTAGCTAAGAATAGGCCTAGTTGTAGACATATTATTAGAAGAGCTAGCATTATTAGAAGAGGCGGAAGACAACGACGTAGCGGCTAGATATAGTGTCTTAATCGTTAACTACGCTAACAGTATATAAATACACCTCCTTCTTAGCTATAACGACTACTAGGTTACTAATTATAATTTGATTATATAGTTAATTACTTACAATTAGTTGTAATTGTAATAACCGGCTCGTAATTGTAATAAATCAACAATCAATAACTATAATTAAGAGTCTATAGAATACCTAAGAAGCTACTTTATACGCTTAGCTAGCGAGAACGCTTACCGGACGGTCCTTATTAGGTCTATTAATGTAGTAAGGACGCTATTCGACAAGTACTACATCCTTAACTAAAAGAGCCCTCTCTACGTTACTATAGTATTACTATATCTAAGCCGACGACTTGCCTAGCTTAGAGGCCGCTCCGTAGTAGACATAGACACTACCTTGTTATAGTCTATAGCGCTTTAGAAGGACTATAAGATACGCTTCGGAAATAGCCGTTAACTACTAGCTACGCTATAGCGCTTATTTAAAGGACTATTGGACCTCGAGCGCTAGCAAATTGAGTCTTAAACTAACCTAGTTGCTACTAATAATAACCCCTTCGAAGCCTTCATTTATGCTAGTCTAATAGCACTACTACTAGTTAGCGAGAAGCCTGTTCTTATAAGCCCTATTAACTAGTAGGTTTAATAGCGGAAGACCTACGATCCAGCACTATAGCAACTAGCTATTAATACATTGTTAGCCTTCGCTATGTCCGCTAAGTTAGAGAGGACCTTTAGTATAAGCCGCTGCACTACTAGATAGGACCGTGTACGCATAAGTAGCGACTATATTCGTATAAATAAGTGCTCGAAGAACTAGACAAGAACAGGGGTTGCTAAGGTGCTATTAGAACTAGCTGCACTAGAAGAGGTAGAAGAAGGGCTATTACTAGCCTTATATTTAGTCTTAGGTACTAGTAACAACGACGACGGCTTGTAAATCTATCTCCTTCTTAACCCTAAGCATCACTAGGTACTGATTATATGATTACGTAACTATGAATACTGATTATTCACTTATTATTGACTATGATTGTGATTATAGGCGCTGACTAGTGAGTACTCAGTATTCAACAACTATGGCTGCCAGACGTAAAGATGCAATACGCCAGATCAGTCGCTCTGATCTCTACTGGTGCCGTAGTCACATCGATGCGCTCGTGTGTGGCCAGAGCGTCTGCAATATCGGCGAAGTGGACATTGGCAGGTGGTTCTGCGCGGCATAACGCTGATTCTGGCAAGAGCTCGTTCGAGATGAGCACCAGTTTACACACTGGCGCCAGCGAGAGAATCTTCCGAGTTCGACCGACCGGAGCGTTGACGTCCAGAGGCAGATACGCCAATCCCGCCTTCATGATGCCCATGAATGCGACGATCGCTTCGCAAGATCGAGGCATATGAACAGCAACGAGCCCGCTTGGGGTGGGATGACGAGAAAGCAGCCATCTGGAGAGCTTTTCGGACAAACGGTCAAGCTGCGCATAGCTGAGCCAGCCCGAGTCGTGCCGGACTGCCATTGCATCTGGCTGTCTGATCGCTTGTTCGCGGAACAGCTCAACAACACTGGCATCACAGGGAAAGTCGGTATACTCGATGTTGAAGAACTCTTGCTTGTGGTTATATGCAACACCATCGGATAGCTCAAGGGCGTGCACGTGGACGTGCGGTTCCCTCAACCCGCGGCGGAGGAGCTCCTGGAAGATGGAGCACAGTGAGCTGATTGTGCGAGCGTGATACAATGCTCGGGCGTAAAGCACAGTCCCCTCAAGCCTCTGCCCAGCATGATTGATATGGAGTTCAAGATCAAAGCGTGTCGTCGGGTTCACAGGCTTGATTGTCTCTGCTTCCACGCCTTGCAAATTCGTACGTATCCGCGTCGCCAGTTGGAACTCGCGGTCGGTTGTAGTCTGTCGGCAATTCCGCCGGACGACTGTCTGCAATGAGACGAGTCCAGTATTCCCGTTCCTTGTGCCGTCCAGCTTGTTGTGTGGCGTGCCAAGTGACAAAATCGCAGTATTGGATGGGAAGGGGATCGATCAGCGATGATGGATTCTGCCCCTGGCAGGCGCCGGAGTAGAATGAGGGTGCATTCCCAAAACAGCGGCGAATGCTTCGCACAACGCGATCTCAATGTCGCTCTCAGCACGCCGGAAGATGGTATTTGTAGTCGCAGTATGTCCGGGCAGTAGCGTCTCTGCCCGCTTTGTGAGCTTTCCACGATCGACTTTTCCATTTGCATTGAGAGGAAGTGCATCCATCACAACGAAGGCAGTGGGCACCATATAGGATGGCAGCTTGGATTGTAAGTGCTCACGCACCGAGTCCTTGATCTTGCCATGTTTGAGATGGTCTAGTTGGTTCGTGTACGACGAGCTCGAGACCGCCGGGGGCTCTGTAGGAAAGTGGAAGAGTACTCGAGATTTGTCCCCGTAAGAGGATCGATGTCGATGGAAGACCACGTCGAAGGCGCCCTGTTGTGAGTGCTGTCGAGCCCAACTGACCTCCGTCCGGAAGCCCGCAGCTGTTCCCAGTTGCTCCAGATCGTAAATCTCCAAAGACAAGTCGAGAGACGCCCGGAAGCTGCGTCAGCGTGTGCACGACGTTTTCCAGATAATCACGAGACGGGAAATACTGGGCCACAGAGTTGATGACCACCACATCAGGCCTCAGTCCGTCGAGCTTACCAACATCCGAAGCGCTGCCCACATGTACAGTGGTTCTGCCAGCGAGATGTGGTATGGCATTGGCCATGCGTGTGACGAATGTGGCTGCGGATTGTGAAGGCTCGATGCCGACATAACTCTCGAGCTGGTCTGGAAGATTGAACAGCACCATGCCAGTTCCAGTACCAATCTCCAGGACATGACCCAGGGGCCGGTCGTCGACGATCGTCGCAATGGTATCATCAAGCCATTCGCACATTTCCGCGCGGTCGATCGGCTTGCCATCGTACATCGAGGTCCATCCTAAGAAATCATGCCCAAGTTTAGATGGGTCCAGCTCATGGAGTTCAGAGAACATGTGCTAGTCGAAATGGTACTGCCAGTCACGAACTCGCTCATCCACGTTGTCGGCGTCCTCAACATCATCGGTGTGGCCCACAATGAAGCCGATCATCTCGCACTCGCTGTGCTGCACTCATCGTTGTTGATTACTGAGTACTCACTAGTCAGCGCCTATAATCATAATCATAGTCAATAATAAGTGAGTAATCAGTAATCATAATCACGTAATCATATAATCAGTACCTATAGTGATGCTTAAGGTTAAGAAGGAGGTAGATTTACAAGCTGTCGTCGTTCCTAGTACTAGAGACCGAGTATAAGACTAGCAATAGTAGTAGTCCTTCTTCCGCCTCTTCTAAGGCGGCCAATTCTAATAGCACCTTAGCAACACCTGTTCTTATCCAATTCTTCGAGCACTCATTTATACAAATATAGTTACTACTTATTTGTACGCAGTCCTATCTAGCAGTACGGCGGCTCTTACTAAAGGTCCTCTCGGACTTAGCGGATATAGCGAAGGCGGATAATATATCGATAGCTAATTGCTATAACGCTAGATCGTACGTCTTCCGCTATTAGATCTACTAGCTAATAGGACTTATTAATACTAGCTTCTCGATGCTAACTAGTAGTAGTACTATTAGACTAGCGTAGATAAAGGCTTCGAAGGGATCCTCGTTAGCAGCAATAAGGTCAGTTTGAGACTCAATTTGCTAGCGCTTAAGGTCCGAGAGCCCTTCGAAGGAGCGTTGTAGTATAGACTATAGTTAATAGCTTCTAAAGCGTACCTTGTAATCGCTCTAAAGCGCTCTCGTACGCGATAGTAAGGTATCTACGTCTACTATAGAGCGGCCTTAGAGCTAAGCAAGTCGTCGAGTTAGATATAACAATACTATAGTAACGTAGAGAGAGCTCTTCTAGTTAAGGCTATAGTACTTCTTAAATAGTACGCTTGCAACGTTAATAGATCGAATAAGGACTGTCCGGTGCTTATTCTTAATAGCGGAGCGACTAAAGTAGCTTCTTAGATACTCTATAGACTCTTAATATATATCGAATGTAATAGTATTGCCTTCGAGCCGAAGTGTAACCTCTTTAAATAGATTAAGGAACCTCCGAGTATACGCAAGGACCTTCTAGTTATCCTCGGACAAGCTAAACTCGCGGAGGTATAGCATTCTATCGAAGAAGGTGTTTAGAATAGGCCTTATTTGAATAGCCTCTTCTATTATTAGAAGCTAACTATTCTATCGTATCTCGCTAGGGATCTTTAGAGTCGTATATAGTAGTTAAGGCTAGGCTTTGCAGACTTCTTAGAAGATGTTATAGTTATCGTTCTTACGGAGAAGTTTAGCGAGTGCGAATAGCCGCTATAGTAGACCTTGCTTAACAAACGAGTCTACGTCTATATCGAGCTACCTAGATATAGACACGCTATTACTATCGTTAGCTAGCATCGTTTAACTAAACTCTTCGCTTTCTGCGGCCTCCGCGTCCTTCGCAAATATAAAGGCTATTATTATACGGTTAAGGATATAGCTAACACAGCGCAACCGACGGTCCTTCTAGTGCGAGTACCTTTATAAGTCTATAAAGCGCTTAATAGCTAGACTGAGCGTATTATTATTGGAACTACTGTTAGTCGTTATCTAGCCGAGTTTGCTAGATATTTAGAAGGTCGAGAAGCATAGAAGAACGGCCTTTGCAAGGAAGTTACTAGTATAAGAACTAGGTAGCAAATGTGCCAAATCTAGCAGTATTTGGACTAGCTTACCGCGTAGATTGATATACTAGCAATTAATGGCCTAGAAGAACTTATAGCCGTACTATAACTTCTAGGTATTAGTATAGAAGTGAAGACAGCTAAGCGCTTCTAATAGTGCGAGTTTAACTCGTTCTCGCTAGGCCTCGAAGTTATATAGAATCCGAGGATATAGTAAAGTATAGCTCTTAAGAAGGACGTCTTCTACGTACGGGTTAACCGATAGAATAAGCTCTTTGAATTCCTTTGTAACTAGTGCGTTATAAGCGATACTGCTAGCTGTTGCAAAGCGAGCGAGAGCGTACCTAAACTTGTCCTTGTCGGCGGCTCCTTTAAGGATATTAATAGTCTTGTCCGAGTCAATACTGCCTTGCTTCTTCTATAGCGCCGAGAGGTCAATTTTAGTCTAATAGGTGCTATCAAGTTTCCGCTTCTCGCTGCCGATAAAGATAAAGTGCTTCTTTGCTAGGTACTAAGGCGCGTTGCTAGAATTAGAAGTATACCGATTAGGGTCGTTATCGTTATAGTAGATATAGTAGAAGGCCTTATGCCTGCCTCTATCTACCTTTAAAGGCTCCCTATCTTTTAGTGCTCTCGTATGCGCCTATAACTCTAGATCTAGCTAATTTCTGCCTCTTCTACGCCTCTTTAAATCGGTAAACGTAGGTATCGGCTATACTATATTCGCTATATTCGCTATATTCGAGGGCTGCGAGGTAGATAGTCGTATAGTATTCGAAGATTAGAGGAATAAGGTATCCTCGTCTAGTGTTAGAGACAGTAGTTTATTAGCTTCGGAGGTTAGAAGGTCGCTTAGATCGCTCGAATTTTTATAAAATAGTATCCGATCTAGTAGGTTGTTTTCCCGTATCGATGCTTAGGTATTTATATAATTTTCTAGCACTTTTTAAGTCGGTTTGTACTTCTTGCGGAGGTTGTCTCGTATATCGAAGGTGTTATTATCTTGAATTAAACAATAAATATCAAACTTTGACTTTGCTAGCGTACGGCTAAGCCGTGCGGACCTTGCCGTCCGTATTAAGCGAAGCTTATCTATTAGGCTTAGCTAGACCCTTTAGGCTAATATAACGCAATCTTTATAGGCGCGATAGCAAGCCCGAATACTATTCTTCGACTAATTCTATACCTAATTAACAACAATAACCTTATTATCGGCCTTAATACCCTCGCTATCGATTAGACGGTATAGCACCCTATCGATCCGATCCTTAAAATACATCTACTATATCGGGCACTATAATTTTAGTCCGAGAAAGCACTCTTCTAAGTAGACGCACGGTTTTCTACTAAACTTAAAGTAGCGACGAGAACCTAGCGCTATTCGCCTTCCTTTCCGTTCTATACCCTTCTAGACTCGATTAATACTATTAGATATACGCTCCTAATAGATTCCGGCCCTTTCGACGATCTCCTTAGTATAGCGAAGGCTCTTTGTCGTCTTTCTAGTAACCCTCCGATATAGTAACTATAAGCCCTCCTTTTCCGCCTCTCCGATATACTACTCGAAGTCCTTCTATACTACTTCGTCGATAAAGGATAGTATACCGGCTTATTAGAAGTATAGCTAAGTAGGAGTAATATAAAGGTCGGTTTGGTTAAGAGTTAGATAAGTCGCTAGTACGTCCTTTAGTAATAACTATAGGTAATAGCTTTATAGTGCTAAGAAGGCTATAGTTAACTAGTCGGAAGTCTATATTAGCGGTAGTAAGAGGTCTTCCTCTTAAGAAGACATAGACTTAGCAACCTGTCTAAATTAGCGACCTCGTATACCTATATTCTACTTACTTACCTCTCGATAGAAGTGCCCTATTTTAGGTATATTATTGTCTATAGAAATAGGAGGAAACAGTACAAATTTAATACCTGCTATAGGTGTAACATACACCCTAGTATTGCCTAGAAACAGCCGACTAATTGCTGATTATAATCACTAGTCACTCATTCAATAATCATAATCGTAGTCACATGTGATTACAGTGACTAGTGATTATCAGTAGTCAATAATCAACAAGTATGGCTGCACTTCTCCACCACGAGATCGTTGGACAGTCACAACGGCTGCGTCGTCGACCATCTTGTGCTCGAGAATCGTTAGCTCGACTTCGGGAAGCTCAATGCGATGTCCTCGGATCTTGATTTGCCTGTCGAGGCGGCCGAAGCACTCGAGCATCCCATCGCTAGGTCGAGCTCGTGCGGCATCGCCGGTTCGATAGGCTCTAACTTGGCGAGAGCCAACAGTGAGACGAACGAAGCGGCCCTCGTCTTGCGTGGGGTCGGTGTAGCCACGAGCGAGTCCATCACCGGTCAAGACCAGCTCTCCCAGTATACCTTTGGGAACAACCCTCAGCTGCTGGTCAACAACACAGGCGCCCGAATGGTTGACAGGCATGCCGATCGGCACGCCATTGGCATAGTCTTCGTTCGCTTGGAGCTCATATACTGTGCTCTCGATCGAATTCTCAGTCGGGCCTGTATAGGTCAGCAACAATCGCTCATACCAAAACAAGACATTCATTGTGCCACGACTCACCGTAGGCATTAAACGCCCTGGCAGAGGACACAGCCTTCAGTTTGACAGCATCCACTGCATCGAGACGGTCGCCGGTGATATAGACTCGCTCCAGGCCGTCCATGGCAGCTGGCATGTAATGTAAGCATTGCTTCAGCAATGCGGGCGTCAACATCACTGTCTGGATATGGTGAGTCTGAAGCACCCGACGAAGACATTCAGGATCCAGGACGGTTGGCTGATCAATACAGACGACCGAGCCACCAGTCAGCAGCGCCCCTGTCACCTCCCACAGCGATACATCGAAGGCGAGACTTGTGAGATGTGCCGTGCGCCCAGGACATTCAAACTGCGTCGCAAGTCGTACTATACCGCGGTGCTCGATCTGCACACCTTTCGGCATCCCGGTAGATCCAGATGTGAAGAAGATGCATGCCAGCGTGTCGGCGTGCGGACGAACTGTGCTGCTTGGAAGTGCTGTGGCTCTCGTACGCGGCTGCAGAGCATGGCTCAGCGGCACGAACAGAACATCTTCTTGCGCAAGGCTCGGTATGGACTCTCCGTCTGCAGCTCGACTGCAACATGTTCAGGACAGGTTGCCGCTTGTTGCTGGAAGATGTCCACAATGCTAGAGTTTCGAGGATAGCCTGTACTGCTGGAGGGTATTGCATGAGGGATGAGATGTGAAAACTTGTGTGCAAGATATGAGTCGTCGACAAATCAGCCACAGCAGGCACATATATAGCAAACAACAAGCTCGAATAGATGATATGATCTATGAGCAAGAACTGTCAACCTCAACACAATCGAAACCCGCATCCAAAAGGCACGGAGTCAGTAGATCGTCGTCTCCAACACCCCAGCATACTCCTCCTTCCAACCCTCCACAATACTCGTAGAAACATTCGACCCCCCACAAATCACAAGCACAACCTTCTCATCCGGCCTAACCGGCCGACCCAACGCCTTCTTCAACCGATTCCCATAACACAACGCAACATTCACCCCACAAGCAGCCTCCACCAGAATCCTCTCATCCTCCGCCAACCTCCAACACCCCATCGCAGCCTCGGCATCCGACAACACAACATTCTTCACCTTCCCCGTCTCCCTCCCCTCCCTCACAAGCTCAAACGTCCGATCACTAACCCTCACAACCCCGAGACTCGTCGCAATACTCGTAATGCCCTTCAGCGTCGTATTCTCCCCGCTGGCCAAGCTCTGCGCCAAAGAATCCGCCCCTTCCGTCTCGACACAAAGAACCTGCGTCGCCTCCCATCCCCTCCCCTCACCTTTCCCTATCTGCCGTTCAATCCCTTCCATAATCCCATTAAACAGCCCTCCCCCGCCCACACTACAAACCATCAATTCCGGCCCCTCCTCCTGCTCCCCAATCTCCGCCATCTGCTCAGAAACTTCATCCACAAGACTCGAATGTCCCTGCCAAATATCCGGATGATCGAAAGGGTTGACGTACAACGGCACCTCTCCCCTCATCCGCGCCGCCGGCATGACGACTTCTTTCAAATACACGTCCGCGGCGTGTAATGTCGGGCCGTGTTGGATCACTTCCGTGGCGCCTGCGGCTTTGATTTTTTCGATCATGTGGGGTTTCGTCGACATGGGCACACAGACGGTTGAAGGGCGACCGACGAAGTTTGCCGCATAGACGGCTCCCAAGCCTGCGTTTCCGCCGGAGGAGGAGAAGATGTGGAGTTTGTGGGGTTCTGGGGAGGAGTAGAAAGTTTTGAGGACGAGGTTTCCCAAGCCGCGGGATTTGAAGGAGCCCGAGGGTTGGAGGTTTTCGAGTTTGAGAAAGATTCTGCTTCTTCAATTTAGAGATCGGGGGGTGCGTTTTGGGGGGAAAGAAGGGAAAGGGTGGGGGGTGCTTTCTTACCATCCTGCTGCTTCGGAGAGTTTGGTGGATTCTACGAGGGGAGTTTTCCGCCATGGTTTCTTTTCATAGCGGGTGCGGTGAGAGGTCTTTGCTCCGACTGCCATTGTGTTGTGTTTTTTGTGGAACGTGGAACGATAGATGATATTACACAAGACGATGCTGTATGTTGGAAGGTATACGAGATGTATGTTGGAAGGTATACGAGATGTGTGTTGGAAGGTGTGCGATGGTATGAAACACGATCCCCAGATGTGGGACGATGAAAGGTGAAGGAGCAGATACTTATCTTCAAGCCCAGTCGATTCGAACCGCCTAAGCGTTCCGACACGCCCTAGTCTTGTAACAGTGATGGAACCTTAGGCGATATCCATACCAACCATCCTCGTACTTGTGATTGTGTAATGGAATGACTCCGCCAGCCAGTGGTACATTCGTCAGGTTTCGAGATATTTTCGTTCCTAGTTCCCGCTACCAATGCCCGCGATAAGCGCAATCCCTGTCAACAGCAGTCAAAGATAAGAATCGCTGACGACAGCGTACCAATGCATGTGCAAAAAGCTTTGGACTCCGAGTGTTCGTTGTGGTGAAGTGGGATGGATGCATGACCCTAGTCAGGAACAAAAAACCGAGCTGACAAAACTTTGGCAAAGTTCCGGCCAGATTTCGTGTTCCGGTATGCCGTAGCTATCCAGGATTGTATTACCCTATAAGTTACGCAGTGCGCTTGTTTGTTAGATTGTCATTACCCCATAGTGTCCCGATTGCTGGATTGAATTACCCCATAGCTATGCAGTTGGGAACACGATGCATGCCTACCAAAAGAGACGTGCAGTGTGATGACTGGGCACTCTTGCGAAGCTGTCTTTTTCTTTCCTGATATGGCGGGGACTTCAGAGGCAATCCCGTTCAAAGGTCGGGAAGCAATTCCGACGTCACTTCACTGAGTGAAGATTGTCCGATATGACCTGAACATTGATCAATCGCCTGTTGCAGTCTCACGTTGTGGATGGCGATGGGTTCGTAGACACACTTGTCAACCCCTCTTCCGTTCACGAGTTTCCTGTCGTCCCGTAGATACACGAGATGAATCGGAACTGCCAATCGCGAGTCGTCCCGGTATTTGAGCTTCACATACCAGCTCTTCATCAGGAATAGCAGACTGCTATTGGAGTAGCGAACTTCGCTCGCAGTATGTTTTTCAAGTGTGTGGGTGCAATCTTAGGCACGAATCCGCCGATGCTCAAAGTACCACGAGGAACGATCAAGAGAAGCTTGACGTGGGCATTGAGATCGCCTAGCTGTGGGAAGTGAGAAGTAGATGTGGGCGATGAAGCTCCCGCCAGCGATTGTTTCGTGGCCAGGACTGGTCGTCGAGACCTCCACAACGAGCTCGAACCCCACAGGCCGCCGTCGTTCCGCTCATGAACAGAGTTCCGCCTTTCTTCCGTCATCGACGGCAAGCTCATCAGTCACCCTTTCGAGAGAGATACCGTGACCCGTCTCGCACCCCTACCGTCTCCGCTCTAGCCCGTGCAGCTGAAGCAGAGACGCAGCAAAGCAGCGAAGCTATACAGAGGATGGTCGAGTGTCCGGACTGTAGGGTTATCGACACCATCATAGTCTTTGGTCAGTGGACTCTTGAAAGATGAGCACCGAGGAGGTAAGGTCAGGTCTCTGGGAAAGCGCATGCTGTGGTCTCCCGAGAAAACGCAACGCATTCTCAGTGATAGTCAGGCATGATCTCTCCAGCGCCAGCGTGGGCCGTGTTACCAATCACGCTTGCCTCCCGGCCCGGTGGCATGCTCGCGATAATGAACACTCTCCCCGTGTCGTAGGTATTGGCCTATCTTTCACGCCTCGTCAGTCCTTCAGCAGAGTCCGTCGCTGAAGCCTGGTCCTTGATCATGGTGCTCCGAGCACACATTTACCAGAGACTACGTCGGAGCCGATCGACAGACTGGTTCTCTCTGGTCCGCGGTTCCGTGGCCATGACACTTGCCTACAGATCGGTAGCAATCTTGGATAGCTCTGACGGCTGATCGGGTTCGACGGTCCTCCGTGATCTTTGACGTGGTCGGGGCCGCTTTGGTCATCCGATTGCACCAAGTCGCGTCCATGTAGGAGGTGATGTGCGATATTCACCTGTGATCTCCGCGTCGGTAAAATCGTGATGCGTTTATGAGGACTGAGGTAGGGTGGAGCGAAAGAACGGAGTTGACGCTCGGGGCTTGGCGTTGGCTGGGAGCACAACCAGAGCCGAGCCCCTCACTCATTCTCTCCCTCTCATTGCTCGATCATTCTGACCAACTACACCTCCAACAAAGCATCCCATAGACCCATCCCTCCGCCGCTGCACGAATGAACACCGAACGAATCTCCCCCGAGAAAGAGCAAGCAAGCATCAGCAGGCGATGGCAGCAGTCGAGAGCAATGAAGACTGGACAGCATAAACCACCCCTTTCGCCCATCACATCATATGATGCCATAACAACGACCCCATCGTGTAGATTCCAGCACAGGATAACGAATGGGCCTCAGAAGAGCCAGTGAATGTATTCGAGCATGGCAGACCTGCAGACAGACACTCACAGTAGTTGCATCCATTCTCCCGTGGCATGAAATCGAGCATATATCATAGCCCTCAGAGAAAAAAATTTTGCACGTCATACCTCATATTCACATTCACAGCTTTTCCTTCCAAAAAAAAAGAAAAAAAAAAAGTTCCATCCTTCTCTGCAGCCAGGCACCAGCGCTCATCCCTCCAACCAACCAACCAACTAGCTCGAGCTCAATTATTCTATCCACCTCTCTTGCAAGGACTTTCACCCAACCCCCCAAGTTCCCAAATTGAGAGATCCTTCACTTCACTACTCGTCCAGGCCCCTATGATCAATACGCTCCTCACATATCACATTAGCGAAAAAAAAAAGAAACCACTAAAGTCTTCCAAGTCATGTAGCTTTCTCGTTCTCGTTCCTCAATACCGATCATCAGTAACACACATTTTTCCCTCTGCCTTTCCCTTTACCTTCCATTCCGGCACTCAACTCAAAACGCCTCGCAAACATACGCTCACCAGAAAAAATTCACATACTGCCTTTGACGATGCTACCCCCTCATCAAGGCCTCCAATACTTCCAAGCGTCCCGATCATTCTCAGGATCCACCAACTCCCCTAACTCCTCCCTCCCATTCGCCGTCAAAAACATATCTTGATCGATCTCAGCATCGTTGATGATGGCAGGGTACAGCACGCCCACGCCATCACCACCCAGAGTGGTGGTATACTTGATGAAACCTTCCGCCTGTAATGCAGCGTCGAGCTCCTCCATTGGAGTGAGCGTGGTCGCAGCCTCGCCATTCAAGTCGCCGTTCGCAGCCTTTTCCTCAGGTGGCTTGAGCAATGTGATGGCACATCCACCGCCGCCGGCTCCGGTCAGCTTTGTCCAGCCGACGCCTGCTTGGTCGACGAGATATCGTAATCTTTCGAGACGGGGATGTGAGACGCCGAGACTGATGAGTAAGCCGTGGTTTATGCTCATGAGTTCACCCAGGTGCGCAATGCTTTCCTTCGCGTGGGGGTCGAAGTCGGCGCTTGTGATGCGCTCGTATACGGATCGTGTGATGGCGTCGATGGCGGCGAGGGTGTTGTCGACCACCATTGGATGTAACGACTTGAGCTGCTGCACCTTGGCGACTTCGACAGCAGTCGATTTTGGCTGGCAGGTGTCGATGAGGAGAAGAGGAAGTTCGGGGAAGTGTCGCATGACGGAGACGGAAGGAGGTTTGGTGTAGTCTTTTCGCTGAAAGAGGACTGCATGGCCATTTGTTGCGACTGTGTTATCGACGCCGCTGGGGTTTCCGTGTATGAGCATTTCGCCCACGAAAGCCCACCTGTTTATGCGCTCGAGTTGCTTTTCCGCCTCTTCACTCTGCTGGTCTGGATGAGGTCCTGACAGTGCTCGACATTGGATCAGAAGTGCTGCTGCAATGCAAACACTCACGCTCGCACTACTTCCCAGCCCTGCTCCGATGGGGATTGTCGATCGCAGGGCGTATATACAGCCGGGCGAGTGCTCCGATCCCAGCGACATGAACAGATATAGAAATGCGCTTGCTGCGGCATGGTGTACCTTTCTCTTGTCTGATGCCACATGGGCACTCACAGGATCGATATGCGGTTTCATCGCTTCCACCAGCTCTTTATCCAATGTCGTGACCAAATCGTAGTATTTCTTCTTTCTCGGCGCGAATTCTTTCCATGGCAGCGCCTTGATGTTCCATGTATGGTCCAATCCAATATCGGTGAACCTCAGCGATATCGTTCTTTGCGACTTGGAAAGGGTTGTGCAGAGGAGGTATGAACGCAGCGAGATGGCTGCCGCAATGGCTGCTTTCCCGTGCACGACGGCATGTTCGCCGTAGACGATCGTCTTTCCGGGAGCGGAGACTATGAAGGGCGGTGCGAGGGGATTGGACTCTTTTCGCTGATGCATTATTATCCGTTTATGTCCATTTACTTTGAGAGAGGGAAGGTCGTCGGAGGTAGTCTGGCAATGCGAATCTCTGGTCGGAGAGCGTGACTGCCCATGCTGTCCATCACTCGTGCCGTTCGCACCGCCATTCACGTGCAGGCCATTGGAGCCGGCGGCGTTGCTATGCGTTGCGCTCATTCTTGGTGCAGGCATTCTCGAGGCCTGGTCTAGAACTAGTCCGAGTCGTAGCCTGTGTGCCAGCGCAGAGGCAGGACTAGGACTCCTTCTAGCTTGTGCCTCACACTCGCAGCTCAATGGCTCAATGGTCTTGCTCACAATCCTTCCTCCTGCAGCCGTGCATCATCAGGGATCAAGTACAGTAGGCTTCCAGATCTGATGGGTATTGCAGGGGGTATATAGCCACTGAATGGACCGAATAGCCACTATACTAGTGAAAGCCCAGTGGGTCTACAAGGTGTCTGTCTCGGTTAACAAGGTTGTAGATTGCCGCTAGCTCGTATATAGCCTAATCCGTAGAGAGACAGGCGTCTTAGCTAGTTTGAAACTACGCTTCTACGTGCCTCTTATTAGGGAACCCTAATTCGTAACCTTCTCGATAGCGCCTTATACCCGATTCGTAGGGCTTAGCGCACTAAGAAAACTCTTTATTTACCCCCTTCCTTTTCGAGTTCTTTAGGTATTATTATATAGAGAAATCTAACTACTACGTTATATCTATATACCTATTTATTTACTCCTCTTATAGTATAATACCTCTTATCTTTCTAAGGGAATAGTAGTATAGACTCGAGGCCCTTTTATATCTAGTCTATCGTTAGTACGGTACCCTATAGGACCTTAGCTAATCTTAGCGAATGCCGTAGAGTAGGAGAACTAGGAGAAACGCCTAACTCTTATTAAGTATATCCTTACGCTTATACTCTCGTAGTATAAGCTAGACGATCTCGGGTAATACTATATCTACTAACGGAACTACGGCGCTAGGAATATAGCAAACTACCGAAATACTATTAGAATAATATCCCTTTTCGAGAATATCCTCTACTCTCTAGTACTTATAGGTTAGTAGGACCTTAGAGGAAAAAGACGTAGAAAAAGACTATTTCGAAGATATACTAGTAGTACTATATACCGATTTCGGTACCTAAACGTCCCTAGTTATAACTAAGACAACCTAAGGAGAACCGGCTCTAGGGCTAGCTCCTCTAGTCGATTAGAAGGCAAAGCTTTAGGAAGAGATTAATAGGCTTAACGCTCTAGATATAACTACGCTCGGTAACGAGGACTTCGAGAAATACCTTAAAAGGTCCTAAGCCCTAGTTAATATCTTCGAACAAAGATACGGGAAACGTAAGCGTACTAACTCGTTCTCGTTAGAGAACTAGGAAGGCGACGAAGCGCTACCGAAGTAGGCCTATAATCCCCTCTAGGATCTCCTACGCCTAAAACCTCCTACTCTAAAGACTAAGCGCTAGGAAGACTATAATATCTAGTATTTAAACATTAACAACTAGTAGAGAATAGCAGATACGCTATAAGATAGCGATCGCCGAACCCGCTAGGCTATCTAAGGTATCGAAGAAAAGTTGCTAGCGAATATAGTTAGCCGCCGAATAGATACCGAATCGCTAACGTAGAGGGAGCTAAGGGATCTTATCGAAGAAACTATTAAACTAGTATCTACTAGGCGTAGCGAGCTTGCGAAGGCGTACTATAACGCCTTATTTAAGTAAGGCTAGTCTATCGGCGAGTTCTTTCGATATATAAAAGTCTAAGAAGACAGATTGCGCGCGTTCTACGATATTAATTATTCTAATACTAGAACTATTAGCTTATACTTCGCTAAGTTGCCCGACTATATTACTAACAAGATAGTAGAGTTAGACTTCCTATCCTAATACTAGAACCTAGATAAGCTCGAGGTAGAGGCTAATCGCCTCTACCTCGTTAAAACTTAGACTAGTAGTACTATAACGAAGCCCTCGACGGCTAAGAATTACGACCGAAACGACGCCGATAAGGTATCGAAAGAGCGTCGAAACGATTCTAAGGCCCGGAAGAACCGTTAGTAGAAGGATAAGAAGCCGACCGAAGCCTCTAGCTAGAGTAGCCGTAAGTACTAGAAGCGGGAGAAAGAAGCCTCTATTTCCGATAAGAAGGGTTCGGAAAAATAGCCGCTCTAGCTATAGAAGGTAGCAACCTAAATAATGTTCTCGTTACTAATCTATCTAACCTATAGCTAAGGCTAAAGACAAAAGGACGAGAGAGACGCATTTACGTAGAGATTAGCGTCGACGGCTCTTCGCGGCCGCTTTAGGCCCTAATCGACTATAGAGCGTAGCTAAACCTTATCTCCGCCTACTATTCTCGAGTATTAGATCTCTAACCTCTTAACCTACTAACCCTAAACGCTCGTTTTCTCGACGATAATAAGATAACGCTTTTTAAAGCTTACCGGATCGCCGTTACTATTAAAGACAGCGAATCTAAGCTAAGAAAAGTCGATTAAATCTTCTAGGTAGCAGCCTTCTAGGGCTATAATATAGTCCTTAGATAGGACTAGCTCTCGGCTATATTACCTCTAATTAACTTTCGTAAAGTACGCTTTATATAGGATCTAGAAGATAAGAACACCAAAGCTAGATCTACGGTATTAGCCGTACTCGCGTCTATTATTAACGGCACTAGCTGTCTCTCTCTAGAAAATAGTATATATACTATGTCTATAGAAACGCTAGATCTCGATAGTTTCGAGCCCGCTCTAGTACCTCTTCGTAAGGACATCGCCGCTATAGCTAAACCTATAGGATCCTTCGCCCTCGAAGACGCTATTATAATATCGAATAGGCAAGGAGGCGGTAATCGTAACCCGATAACTATTAACCTAGATAAGAGAAAACCCGACTAGTAGTAGCTAGCTACGGTTACAATATAGGATCGACTTCGAAATACTTACGAAAGTACGCCGGAACTATATTAGCTTCCTAAGCAAGTCTATACCGATCTCGTTACCTTAGTAATATACGCTAATAGAGTCCCTCTATAGTACTATAAGTACGAGGACGTTTTTAACGTAGATCTAGCCGGTGTCCTACCTTAATATATAGAGTACGACTATACTATCGAGCTCGAAGAAGGCAAGTCGCCTCCGTAGATACCTATCTATAACCTCTCTTAGGAAGAATTAAAGATCCTACGAGAATATATCGATAACGCCTTAAAGAAGGGATAGATCCGGCCTAGCAAGTCGCCTAGCGGCGTACTAATCCTCTTCGTCCCTAAGAAGGACGGTAGTATACGACTCTACGTCGATTACCGCGGACTTAATCGAGTTACTATTAAGAACTGCTATCTACTACTACTTATTAGCGAGATAGTAGACCGACTTAGATAGGCAAAGATCTTTAGCAAATTAGACCTAAAAGATGCCTACTATCGACTCTGTATTCGTAAGAGTAACGAATAGAAGACCGTATTTAAGACTCGTTATAGTCTCTTCGAATATCTAGTTATACTATTTAGACTTGCGAACGCGCCGGCGACCTTCTAGTTATATATTAATCGAGCCCTAGCTAGATTGCTAGACTATATATACGTTATCTACCTCGATAATATTCTTATCTTTTCCGAAACAGAAGAAGAATACCGAGAACATATACGCTAGGTCCTATAACGGCTGCGAGAGTAGAAGCTATATACTAAAGCTTCTAAATACGAGTTTTATAAAAATAGGACTAATTTCCTAGAGTTCGTAATTACTACTAACGGTATCGAAATAGACCCGGAACGCGTTAGGAGTATCGCCGAATAGCCTACGCTATAGTGCTATCGAGATGTTTAGGTATTCCTAGGATTCGCGAACTTCTACCGACGATTTGTATAGAACTACTCCCGTATCGCTCGCCCCTTAAACGACCTCCTTACCGGTAGCTATTATAGTAGGGACGGTACGCTAGCCGAGCCCGGTATATACTTTCTATAGCACGTAGATACTTATATCTTACAATACTATTGCCTAACTACTAATCGTCCCTCGTATAACAATTAGTAGCTTCGCTTTAGTTAGATCTAGATCTGTTTAAATAGTACCCGAGTACTAGACGAACGGGTACCTTAAAAAACTAAAAAACCCTACTACTGCCGCTTAACGCGACCGCGAGGTCCCGTGCTAGCGGCACCGACCTACCTACCTAACTATAACAACTACCTACGCTCGATATAGATACGATTACGACAGTTCTCTAAATTCCGTATATTATCTTCTATATATATAGCTATATACCGACAGCCCTCTAATCGACGGCGCCCTATAGCCCTCTAATCGCTAGACTAGGCGGCCCGCCTTCCTTATCTAGGTTTGTTTACTCTATACTAGTACCTACCGAAGCGGGCACCGGTCGAGGCAAGAGCCTATAAGCACCCTAACAGTTTCCCGACTCTAGTCTAGTTCCTTAACTCTATACTTATCCTATACTTATAAGATTATCGAGCCTACGCTTACTCTATAAATACACTAGCTTCTATACGCCCCGATTTAGACGCCTACTTATTAAATATCGCCTTTTGCTTTAAGGAATTCTTAGCTAACGCCGGTTACGCTAAGTTAGTATACTAGAAGTAGAGAGACCCGTTAAAAGTAGTCGTTACGACAATTACTACTTATTATTAGCCCCTAGAAGAATATATACTGCGGAAACTCTCGGACGCTAGAGGTAGTACTACCCTCGGTTTCCTCTAGGATTAGGTAGTTAACCGCTCTTTAGTTATAATAGTAGCGAAGACGCTAATCGTACTCCGTAACGAACTTGCTATTTTAGACTCGATAGAGCCTAACGACTTAGCGGCTCCTACTCTAGAACTAGTACCGCCGTTACTAGACATAGTAGTGCCTACAAGTCTAAGTCCGGATACTAGCCTATAGCTACGTCGCCGTCGGACTATTTTAGTAGCTAGTATACGACGAGTTACGTATATACGTTATAGGTCCTTACCGATTGTATTTCCCCTAGGCCTACGAGAACTTAGTGCCTTAGAGCTGTTAGTCCCGAGTAGTCCTAATTTGTCTTTACCGGTTTCTATCGACCCTAAGTAGTAAGGTCCTAAGTAACAAGGTCCTAAGCCTAAATAGGAGGATATAGAGCAATAGAGCCCCAAGCCGGAAGACCGGGAGCTTCCGGCCCCGAGTAGTCT